CTCCAATCAAACGACATGGTCTCCGCAACTTCCATTAAGTCGGAACGGCATACATTCTACAAATGTGCCAGCCTCCGATCATTTCCCTCTTTCACTCGATCTATATGGATACACTTGTGATCCGAGCTCAATTTCATGGGATTCCTGATCAAGTTTATGTCCCTTATCCCGATCTTGAATGGTCATGTCGAGGCTTTTGTTCGCTACGTAACTTGCTCGATGGTATATGCGTCGTAGATGGCATATATCTTGACGTGGTCCACGTCGCGTCGTTTGGTGATTTCTTTATTGTCAAAGTGGACTTCAACGTCGATCGCGGGTTCCAACGTTGAATCAAGCAAAATGATGTGTCTCCACGAACGCGATTTTCGGCTACATTCAACGCGACTGTCAGCCGTTCATCATAAAAACACATTCCTTTTGCTAGGAATCATTGATATACATTTATCCCGACCACGTCAAGTCTGCACCGTACACTCAGCCGTATCATTTGCTTGCGGCCTGTACATCAAAGTTGCACGCTGATTCTATTCGGCAACTCCATTAAAATTTAAAACGATGCCGACGGTAAACGTGGCTCCCGATGGTGACGGATCACTTGACTTGCGCCAATTATTGGAAGACGCATTCATAGTCATGTTCAGCGTTTGTCGGAACTGTCCAGGATGAAGTTGCCTTCGCAATTACATACCCCAAAAAGATATCCAGCCACAGCATCAGCTCTGGGGTGCATATGAACGATCGTGGAAAGGATGGAATTCGGTTCATCTTAATGCTCGAAATGAATACATAGCCTGCAAATGTCCTAGTGACCCATCGTGGAATACGAGAAGGGCTTTAGCGGTATCATCACCAACGCACTCTCCCACGTAAAGTTGCAAGCCTCGATATAAGCTGTTTTAGAGAAAGTGGTTCTAATTTTTTGATAGGTCCTTTTGATCCCTTCAAGACCTCTTTTCAGACTAGTGTGGAAAGCGTGTAGGAAGTCTTGTTGTAATAATTATAAGATCACCAAATGAACCAATTACAAGCATCCTTCTAGCGGCTCCAACAGCTCAAGGTACAATTAGCAATCCGCTTCCATCTTTTTCATATTTGGGCGCGAGTCTAGTACTCTTTTTTCTCTTCCAAACTTCATCTTTCTTGTCGCCGATCATCTAACAGTCTGGATATCTTTCATGTGTCTGGTTCATGCAATACGTTCAAACTTGTTGTAAGACCTCTTCTTGCAAATCTTCATGTTTTCGATGCCGTGTAACCAATACCGTGGTAATTGAATTTTGTTTTTACTACATGGTCGAACACTATTTGGTTCCAGTATATCATTCAGTCGTTCAAGCGATAAGATTCTGTATATCCTGATCTGAACTGACGATCTTGCTCTATTCTTGTTTCAAAGTCGTACGTGCCATACGATGAGGATTCACATTCCGTCCCCGCTTCATGTGTAGGAACTTACGTATCGGCAGGTCCTACGCTTCTATATTGCCTGTTGCCGTAGCGGCTGTAATTCCTGCGATTTGCAGTCAATCTCGCCTCGCATCTGTCGTATCAAAAGGTCCGATTTAGTACAAAAAATGGCCCCCTAGTATGATCTATGAGGGGTTAAAAAATAACAGCAAACCGCGGTAGTCCACTTCATTGACTGTCAGACCCGTTGCTCACTTCTACGCGGCTTTTATGGTAATTTAGTCAGTTGGCGCACATATGATTACGCTGTACTATCAACCCTTTTATTGTGTCGGTATAGATCCGTCGAGACTGACTACGAATAGACACTTGCTTGCTTCTACCGTAGGTGCAGATATGTTTTTGTATGCTTAGGTTTTTTCGTGGAGCGATCGCGAATAGTACTTCCTCTACCTCCTCGCGGGATGTTATACAAGCAGAAATAACGCCAAGTATTCCGTCCTCTATCTTCTCGCACTTCCTAATGTCACGCGTCCAGTTTGATTGGAGTGATGTCTACCTTTTCTGTCGTCTATTTAGTCTCGATGATTAAAATAACCCAGTAACGTCAAATATCGCGCAAGCACTTGTATTGCATGTATGATCAAGAAAAGCTACATCCGGAATCTGAAGAAAGGCGACCACCTTTTTTCTCAACCGTTTCGTCGTAGATTTCATTGGTGGGTTTCATGATCCGCTCGTGAATGTTACCGGCCAGTATGCTCAATCGTTCTTATGCAGCAGAGCTGCGAAAACAGCCCATTTTATGCGAGTATAAACCACGACCAACGGAGACCTACCCGGATCGAATTGTGTCAGAATTCATGTCTGGACGAACTAGACCTTTGACACAACGAACGCGTTTGTAGCCTTTTTACAAGGCATTTTGCCTTTAGGATCGTGATCACCTTCGTCATAACGAGCATGACCAAGATAGCCCTGAGTGTTGGGATTATAGTCGGGTTCGCCTCGCCAATAGAGTCTAGTTTAGAACGCTTTCAACTGTGGTCGAACCGAATCTGGTCACTCCGAATTTCATCTGCGTGTAACTCCATTATCTCCTTACGACTAATTTTCATGATATTCTGCCTCCCGCAGCTTCATACTTTGCGGACGCGTTGATCGCAAATCCTAATAAACCAAATGTTTGATTCAGACTTTCTAGAAACGAATGCATCGATCGCAACATCTAGGGAAACGTTACATTGTTTATCATTCATAGGTCGTTTAGATTAGCTCCCAACCCTGCGAGTGAGGCTCTATGTCTCAGACATATCGCCTTACGTCGTGAATAGAAACTTTTATCTAGGCTGATCGATATATTCCTTCTATCAACATACCCATGAGCGTATCTCCAGTTTGTCATATAATGAAGCCCACGATATAGCTGGGATCAATATGTCATCGGTATAGGACGATCGACCTACATCTGATGGTTCCTAATCGATATTCGATTCACCTGTAGTAAACATGTCGATCAAATTGGGCGATCCCGCGGCTGTGAGAACCTGACTTTGACCGATCTTGAAGTATCGAAGCGACTCATTGTCATCAACCGTTGATAAATCTGAAGGCATCCTGCGCGATCTCCGAGGTCGATGAATCTGGAATTACGTGATCCTGCCGGTCCAGTAGTTACAGTTGGTACCCATCAAAGTTTGCGACTACCCTAAAGTTTAATTTGTGGGCGGACTAACGACGATCCTCACTTCTGTCGACCCTCCCACCGGGATCGCCACCTGTTGATCTTTGGCTATGTGTGGCATGGTCGATCGCTACGGGGTCTTCGTCCGACTAAGAGGATCCTCACTTCGTCTGGCAGACGAAGAGTCTCGTCTGCTGAATTTAGTTGTATCCCTGCTGGGGCCATACAGTCCATACCCAAGATTGCTTCTTGGCCTAGTTCATCCCCTACCCAGGCATCGGGCTATACCATTAAGGGTGATCTTGATCCTCGTGCGTCCTTCCGTCATGTCAGTGTTTTCACCAGTACATACGCACTCTCCTTTTTGGCTCACGTCGATGATGGTACAGCCTAACTTACGAGCAAAGGTTGTGTCAAAGATCGAAGCTTCACCATCAGAATCAAGTAACATAGTGACCTTTCGTTATTGGTCTTTCACACCGCCTTGGCTTGTTTGAAACACATTTTAGCGTATGGTACTGTGATTCAATATCCCCGGGATCGCTTGGCACGTTTACGGGTAGATGATATACAGAATGCAGTGGGCAATGGTTGTTGTCGTCTAAATACGAAGCACTTGTGCTGCAAACGCAGCGATGATTGAACCTTCAGAAATCACGGTTTGCACTTTTCGCTGATCGAGTTCATGCCTGCGACACTTGCAAAAAGTGGCGCAGGAGTACTTACTCGTTTGCTCGCAGAAAGCTCTACTCGGCCACCTGTTCTCACACAATGGCGAATGCCCTGACGTTCCACTGCGTCTTCGTTGACTACAAAAAGGCTCAATTGTAGCTTTTAACACTCATCGAGTTCCGGTCAACCGAGACAAGCTCAGAAGAGTAAAACGGCAGTGACGATGGTCGAGGGTGTCGATGGCAGTCAAGATTCGCGCCGAGCAAAAGACGTCGTAGAGACATGCAGTGATATCTGAGTTCATCTTCCGCACTTATGCATGTGTCTATGTGCATAGTTACTTGCGTTGTGCTGTCTGACGAATGTACAACGCATGAGAATGCAAACTTGTGGGGTCAGCATTCTGTAAACGACATTTTTCGGTTTGCATAGCAAAACGTTGGCTTCTCCCTGGACGAAAAGAAGTGGCACGAAAAACTTCCGAGGGACGTGACGATCACATTGATTCCCAATATCAAACTGACTCGTACGGAGGCCGCAATACTACGGAATACTGATGGCTCGGGGCAAGACAATTGCAAGTAGAGCGTCTAAACGTCAAGCCACAGTAGCTAACGGTCAAGCCCAGGAACGCATGAGATCGATGAGCTTTCGGTGTGATTCAAAGGTGGCGTGGCGCAATGAATGGAGGGCTGGCAGCCGATAGGTTGAGGGCATCGACTGTTGGACGCTGTCATCTGTGGGTCGAAGCATGATCCCCAAGGCTTGTCTAAATCAGAAGCAAGGCGTGAGTTGCGTAACGTGTCCAAGAGGTGCCAATCCAGAATGCCTCTTACGATCCACAATACTGGTGCGAAATGACAACGACGACGATGACGATGGCGATGGCGAGACGGAACCAAAAGACACCACGAGCAACTTTTGTCATGACAAGCGCCACGGAAGGAAACGAACGGCTCCGACATACATTTGCATCTAAAGTACTAGAAATGATGTCGTCAATCGCTCGCCAGTTTTGCCATCGGTACGACAGTATTATATGCGCACATAGCATCTCGAATTCCAAATTAGTAGTTGTATTGTAGTTGGTGTGTATGGACGTCGACGGGCACGCGAAGAGGCAGTAGCGACAGATTCCGTGGGGTTCGTGCGCACGTTATGCCCACAACGTCAGTCCGTCGTCGGCTGTGTACGTATGTACGTATGTACGTATGTATGTGTGGACTGACCCCTTCTACGGCCGCGTGGCGGCAATGTACATGGCCCACGAGCGTGAGAGGCCGTCGTCCATTGTGACGTTTCGCAGCTTTGTCAGGGCAACGTCCTTGTCGATCGTCGCGTAGTTCATGTAGAGCAGCGACAGCCAGGGGTTCGTCTGTTCGTCCGTGAGCACAATGGGCTCGCGCGAGAGCACCTGGTCCCATTCTTGCGCGACAAAGTCGTACGTGCGCACAAACTCCGTGACGGCCGTCGCAGGCAGCATCTGAATGCCGTGGATCGCGTACTTCTCGCCACTGAACCACGTCGCGTAGTTGACCTTATTGTCAAAGAGGATGCCCATGACCTTGTTGTCGCGATAGCGGTCCGGGTGCGCGCGGTTGCCGTCTTCAATGAGAAAGTACGTCTGGATCGCGCGTGCGTTGAGCTTCACCATGAGCTTCCCGACCGTCTCGAGGTGCTTGTCACCCGTCACTTGGCCCATGAGCGTCATGCCGTAGAAAAAGTTCATGTCCTCGGACGTGCTCTCTTCGTCCTTGCCGTCGGCCAGCGCCGTGATGCCGTGCGAGTACGAGTGGCCGCGGAACCAGTCGAGGCTCCGGAACTTGGGAAAGTGCGGGTCGGCCGTCGACGGGTTCGCCACGTCGCGGATCAAGAAACCGGCCATGCGGTTGAGCGCCGGGATGCCCGCCCACGTCGGATCGAGCTTGTTGACGATCGCCGCCGCGACGATCCAGTAGCCGTAGTGGTAGTGGTGGTCGTTGTACATGGTGTTGCCAAAGTCGACGTTCGGGTCGTGCAGCGTGAAGCCCTGCGAGCTCACGACGCCGCGGTAGATCGTGTCGTAGTTGAGCGCGTTCGTCCACGAGTTGTCGAGGAAGGGCGTGAGGAGCCCCTCGAGCTTTGTCATGCAGCGGACGACCAGTGCCGTGTCGTGGGCGCCGACGACCGACGGGTCGCCCGCCATGAGGCACAGCGACGCGTACTTTTGCGCGGCTTTGCCGTTAAAGTAGTAGCTCTGCCCCAGCGCGATCGTCCACTGGGCGTCAATGTCCGCGATCAAGTGCTTCTTCAGCTCGTGCGCCTCGACGTGCTTCGCGTGGGGTCTTCGGGGCGGGTAAAAGTCCACGGGGAAGTCGATCGTCTCCAGCAGCCGCCACTCGGGCGGAGACGACGTCGTCACGACGCCCTGCATCAACCCGCGCGTCGTCGAGTGCGCGGCGACGCCTTCGGCCTCAACGGCGTACCTTCGGTCGAGCGTATCCACGTGGTGCACCTGCGCGTAGTGCAGCATCCCGTGGGTGCAGTCGCCGCTGGTCTTCCACTTGTAGGCGTACGCGTTTTCGTTGTGGGCTTCCACGCGCCCGCCGTCGAGGACGCAGCTCGCCGTGTCGTCAAAGATGCGCTGCTCTTGGGCCGACGCGTCGGGGATCAGCGCCACGCGCGCAGTGCCCGTGAACGGCTGCGCCATGTCGAGTCGCGAGCGGCCGTCGAAGTAAAGCGTGACGTGGCTCGAGAAGTAGAGCGTCCACGTGGCGCTGTTGCTGAACTGCAGCACAAAGCGGTCGTTCGTCAGCGCGCGGCCGAGCGTCTCGGCGGCGTCCGCACCGTTGACCGTCTCGATGGTGTACAGCGTCTCGAAGCGCGGCGTGAGACCCGCGTAGTGCGACGTGACAAAGGCCATCCCGCTCGCGAGTGTCGTCTCGAACGTCTTGGACGGGTCGGCACGCGACAAGAAGCGCAGCTGCACGCTGAGGTCGTCCCAGTCAAACACCTCAAAGACCGGGCGCGACGCGTTCGAGAACTCGGTCGCCGAGAACGTGAACTCGGCGACTTGGCCGTGGAGATAGTACGCTTCGGCGTCGCCGTTGCCCGTCAGACCGCCGCCAAACAGTCGCGTCGTGTACGGGTAGTTCATCGTGAGCCCGAACGGCTCCTTGAAGAGGGACGGCGACACGCTGTACGGGTTCGTCCACACGGGGTACACGACCTCTTCGTCTGTGGTCGTGGCGCCAATGATGTTGCCCCACCAGTCGTTCGTGGGGATCGGACGGGAGCCCACGATCCCCGCAGCGAGGAACCTGGGCGGCAGCAAGTCCTTCTGCGCGTCCGTGTGGTTGAAGAGACTGTCTGGCGGGGCTTCGGCGTTGAAAATGGGCGTGAAGAGGTCAAACTTGGCGTCCGGGGGCACGGCCGTCGCGCTTCGGAGCGTCGAGATGCTCGGCTTGAAGACGCCAAAGACAGCTGCCGTCAGCAGCAGCGTCGAGGCGATAGCGACCACACTCCATCGACCGATGGGGCGGCGGCTGGTAGGCGAAGCAATCAGCGACGTCGCTCGGGTCTCGAGCAACGGGCGCACTTCGCCGCTGTCGTGGGGTCTCGCCGTACTCGACTCGATCATGTCTTTGCACTGACAGGTGGGCAGGCAGATCAACAGACGGATAGACAGACAGACAGACAGCGTCCCGGGCGTTCGTGTGGGGGAGTGGGGCTGCTGGACGTGGTGCGGCGAACGAGGCAAAGTCGAAAGTGTTTGTTCCACTCGATGCTCCTGTCTCGTTCACTTGAGACGAAACGTATCATCGCGCAGTCGATCGATCGATCGGTCCGTCCATCTATCTATCTATCTATCTATCTGTCGGTCGGTCGGTCGATCGATCGATCCATCGACGTAAAAGTCGATCCATCTCCTGGCTATCGATCCATCGATCTACCTGTCTCCTGTCTGTCTGCATATCGATCGATCATCGAAAGGTGAGCTGATACTGTGCCGTCGCATCAGCCACTACGTACGTATCTTCAGCTGTTACGGAACCATAAAACGGCGTCGATCATATGCGGCAAGACGTTATCGTCGCGTCGTCGAAACCGGGCAGAAGGGCCACACTCTGTCCCGGGTCGTCGTGTCGAGCGATTGAACCAATCACAGGCGCCGATGCTCCCGCGCGTCGGACGTGACTGGTCAGAAAGATGTTCCACGACCACCGGTCGTCCCATCGAACGGCAGAGCTGCAGTTCCCTCGACCTGCGACGAGTCAAGTGGCAAGTGCAAGTGACGCACGTACCGAAAAGTGCGCCGTCCGGACGTTTTGTCATGCAAATGTGATACGTCTGGGAAGTTTCTCTGCACGCGCAGAGCACGACTACCACCGACGATGTGGTGCGTGCTGCCGCCTGTCTGCCTGCTGCTTCGATGCGTTACGAGACGACCGCAGCATGTTGACGCCATCGCCAGCCATCGGCGACCAGATCCCGTAGGTGTCGCAGCGAACTACTGGCGTTGTGTTGCAGTGGTGCCCTCTCGTGTGGGGTGGGCGCCATCATGTTCCCGTGCTGCGCGGACGTTGCAGCGCCTCCGATCTCTTCTTTTCTGTTCTTTGCTGGTAGAATCCGCTCGATGGCTGCTAACCACATGCGTACAAGACACGACCAGATCGCAGGACATGTCGGCTGATAGTGGTTCAGACGAGCGAGACAACGAGTTGGTGTTGCGCGTCGTACTATTCGAGCGTACCATCTGAGTGGCTCTTCTGTCGCCGTCTTTCACATCTGCGTGATCGAAAAGGCAATAAAGCCGTGGAAACGATTGGAGACGTTTCGATGTAGCAAAATGGGTCAGTGACCAAAAGCGCACATCGAAAAGGTGTATATTCTGTTCTGGAGTGTGGGTGCACTTGTCGCGTGGACGCTCGAGCAAGATAGAAACGACTTGCTCCGAAATGCGCCGACTGGTGCGAATATGAGACACGAGGACTAAAACTTGGACAGCGGTCCAGCGCTTATCAGATACGGCGCAAATTATGGATGGGTTCGATCGCATTGAAACGAGCGTACTTGTCAATAGAGCTCTTCAATCATCGATCGACTGACTGACAGTGGCTTCGAGCCAACTCAAGCGGTGCTTACCGGCCAAAATAACGCGCAGACACATAGCAGTCGAGCCGCACGACAAAGTCGAAACTCACTGCTTCTCTCATTGTCTACGGGTCAGAAGCTCAAGAATGCCATTCGATGCAACTCTAGCCACTTTCTTGTCAGCATAGTGAGACATCTTTCGTTGACGTCTTTGCTGCGATTCTTCTTTCGTCCTCATGAGCCGGTGGCAACAGCGCTTGTGTCTCAAGTCTGTGAGTCGTAAGCACATGCGTTACTTCTTGCACGCGTTCACGACGTCGAGCAGGAAATGTACCGATACTGCATTACAGCAGCGCTGAGTCCAGCTTCCAGTGACGTCTCTGCCCAGCGACTCGGTCGGCTCGCGCACGCACCCTCGAGCAGCAGTGTCGTTTGCATCTCGAACGAGAACCTCTGCGGGTCGATCCTGGAAGTTTCGTGCTGACTACCCGTACAGATGGGATGCCGCTCTCTTTCAGGGTTTCGCAATAACCACCCAGCATCGTTGTCTCTCGCTCGGAGGTTTCGTGATAACCACCCAATGTCGTAGTCTTGCACAGCCAGCGACCGCGTACTTTGATGTGAAAGAACGAAGGCGTTCAGGTAGTCCTTGCACCGCCCACGCGCCATACTCGAGCTGCTGCTTTACTGCGCTTCCTCACTACCGTCATAGCACCGGTAGCGCTGACGAGAAAAGCAGTTTCTTTCGTGCGCGACACGTGCGCGACAACGCCGCTCAGTAACGTACCGGCGCTGCATTCCTTTCGTCTCACTTTGGCCGACGAATACCACCCAACCTCAAGTCAACTAGCACCTACCACGTCAACTTCAAGTTCATGGGTCGCGAAGCGTCACGATGGCTGTAGAAGTCAGGATGTCTACGACGACAGCGTTTCAGTCCGGCACCTACGAATGCTGCCGATCCCTCCTTCGTAGATGAACCGATCTCGTGCCACGACGTCTTCTTCGGGCCCGCAAGTGATCATCATCATCACGATCATCATCATCGTCATCTTCGTTCCACTCATTCTACAACGTGACTCCAAGCACACAAGCCAACCAACTCCACTACCACTTACCAACTACCGCACCCGCACAACGCCAGCATGGGCACTGACCACCACTTTACCGTTGAAGAGGAATTCTCCAAGCTCGAGCTCGTGCTGAACCAAGCGGCGGGCGACACTGCTGTCTGTCTCCGCTTGTTGAAGAAACAATTGTCCGACTACGACCACCGCAATGGCAACATCTTTGCCCACTCGGCCCTGTCGTACTTGCGCAGCGACATGCGCTCGGCCAAAGACACGGCCATGCACCTGAAAAACGTGGCGCATCAGATCAGCCATAGCCTCAAACCGTCCAAGGCCGAGCTCATTGCTGCTCGCCATGCGATGAACTCGACGACCAGAGTCATGGAAGCGTTGACGGCAACCGCTCGCAACTATGACAAGGAGAACGGCCAGTCAAAGGGCATCAAAGGCACGATCGACGCGGTGCTGGGCGGTCGTCACGACAAGGACAAGCACGAAAAGCACTCGCTGTTCGGGAAAGAGACTGGCGCGGCCCACGGCAAGAACATGGCACCGGAAGGAGGACTGTTTGGTGCAAAGAGAGAAGGCGACACGACGCACGGCGTGCTGCCTGGCGAGAAGGACGAGCACCACAGAGGGTTTGCTGCTGCTGCTGCTGATAAGAATGGCGGCGGCATCATGGGGACAACTGACACTGTGGAGGTGCTGGTGAAGAAGAACCTGCGTGACAATTTCAACCTCAGTGCGCTGGATCACCAGATCTCGACGGCCGAGAAGGTGCTGTCGCCCTCGATCGTAGAGCGTGCGAAGGAGGTGATCCACGACGTCAAGGACAAGTTGACGGGCGACAAGACGAGTCCGACCCACGTTGACCACGTCCACGGCAGTCGTCACGCCACGCACCCATCGGCGGTCCACTCGACCGCTATGTGATGAAGAAGCGGAGCTCATGCAGGAGACGGGACGAGATACGCCTGTAGCTATGGGAATCATTACTCAGTAGCTGCTGGTAGTTTGCATTACTCTTTTTTTTAATTCCACATAATGATTGGCAAAATCAGGTTATGGCAACCACCTGCGTGCACTCGACCCCTTGTGAATTGGGGGACACGTGCGCGAGTGAATGAGCTGAGATTGTCTCGCTCGTGACCGAATGATAGCAGGAATTGGCTGTTGCTGAAGCAGTGAGTCTGATAGAAACTGCAATCATTGTCTCGGGTTATGGTGGGAATGGGGTGGTGTTGAGACCGTAAATGCGTAGGAGACGTCATAACGTCTCCCATGAGTGGGGCAGGCTCGCATGAACACACAAACTTTACTACTACTGCGTCGCGGGTCGTGTGCTGAAGACACTGCTGAAAGACTGTTTTGACCGACTGTCTTTGGGGCACAAAGTTCTCGCGCGACCAGCACGAGGTGTCGTATCCATCAAAGGTGTGTCTACGTTCAAATGGATGGATGGACGCTATACTCAACAATTGAGGTCTGCGGACCTGCATACTCGATGCAACTCGACTCACCCGTCAATGCCACACTCGACCAAGACGCGTGCTTAGACGTGCTGTACCACAGAATAGCAGCACTGTGCGCGTGTTATGACAATCCATCCCGTAGGAGGCATGAAAAACTAGGAACGTAGGATTCATCTACCCGTGCCGCCATTCTTCGCCAACTTTGTCGTCCATGTGGTTGTAGTACTTTGCCGTCTGTGAGCTCGGAACTAGACAGAAAGTAGCTTACAATCGTGTTTCTGCTACCGTAGCCATCACGGACGGCTACGTCCTGCGCGTTACCCGTAAACTTTCTCATGGAATAGAAACGACGTCACTTGACATCGACCAAAGGCTCAGCATGTACTGTACCGTCCTCACCGCCCTCCGTCGTCGACATCCCAGAAAGTAAAAGGACCTGCGTTTCAGTCCTGCGAAAACCTGCGCGATCGCATTTCTCCTGCCGCGTTTCTAAAAGTCGATTTAGCGCAACATACCGTCAACCTCCCGCTATGTGGCGCACCACACCACACCACACCACACTCGCCCATCCCATCCATCCTTTGCTGTATCCCTCTCGCATGCCAAACGCATTTTGACCCATTTCAACGTTCCAATGCTACAAACGCAAGACGAGCGCGAGTCCGTAACAACCGAAGGTACCGACATTGACATTGAAGCAGACCTCGACCTAATGGACGAGCACTCTTCGTTGACTCAAGCCGCCCATCGTGACAATCTTTCCCCCGTATCGTCATCGCCTTCGGTCCCGAACCAAAAGTCGCTCAAGTCCACTGCGTCGAAGGACCAGACCGAGTCGCACTTTCGAGCCACTGGCGCGTTACGTCAAGGGGTGACGCCCGAGCTATTGTCGGCCGGCACGATTGGGATTCTCGCCCAGTACGCTGCAGTGGGCCTCGTCTACGGCGTCCTGCCCAGTACCATTACGCCCTTTTTGACCTATTACCTGAATATGGAAGGCACGGCCACCACATCGGCGCGGGCGCTCCTGTCCATTCCTTGGAGTTTTAAGGTCTTTATTGGTGTGGTATCGGACTGTGTACCGCTTTTTGGGTACCGTCGCCGCCCCTACATGGTACTGGGCTGGTCGGTCACAGTAGTGTGTCTACTTGCGATGGCGGCGTCACCGCTGGAGCGCCCGTACTTTTCTGACCCGAGCATGCGACACGTCAAGCCCGCAGATTACTCGCTCGAGATGGTCCAGTCGCTCAACAAAAGTGCACCACATAGTGGCGCCAAGTACATTGTGCTCATGATGTTTGCGACATTGGGGTACCTCTTTGCAGATGTTGCAGCTGATGCAGTGGTCGTCGAGTATGCGCAGTGTGAACCCGAAGAAACGCGCGGGCGAACGCAGACGGCAATTTATACGGTCCGCACGCTATTTAATGTCGTCGCACAGACGATCACGGGCTTTGGACTGAGCTCGCCGGACTATGGCGGGAGTTTCGAGTTTGGGCTGTCGTTTCCAGACACGATGTTGCTCTTGGCGATGTTTTGTCTGCCAGTGATTCCAATGACGTGGATGTTTGTGCGCGAACAAGTTGTGGTGGACCGACCGAGTTTTCAGACGTACGTTGGCCGCTTGTGGGCAGCGATTCAGAGTCGAGCCGTGTACCAAGTGATTGCGTATAGTTTTCTATCGGGTGTGTTTAGTGGATTTACCTATGTGGCCCAGGACCCCATGACGTCGTATTGGGTCCATGCCACGAGCTTCAACTTGAGCTTGAGCAGTATCTTTGGCAGCTTTGTGACAGTGGTTACGCTCACGTTGACTGGCAAATACGGGCTGCAGTGGAATTGGCGGACCATGCACGTCGTCACGATGGTGAGCGTGATTGCACTTGACGCCATATGCACCATGCTAGTAACGTGGGACATTGTCCGGAAGCAGTGGTTTTGGCTGGGTGTATCGATTGTTGAGGCAGTGCCGGATGCAGTTGGGTTCATCATTTCAACATACGTGGTCGTGGAGCTAGCTGGTCACGGCAACGAGGGAGCGATTTACGGCCTATTGACAACGGTGAGCAATCTGGGCGGACCCTTTGCCCTCACGCTGACAAAGAATGTGAACGCCGCTTTCAAGGTGTTCAACGAGGACATTTTGAATGACACTGAGGAGGTGCGTCGCGACGTGACGATCACGATCCTGATTTCGTACATGATGAAGCTCCTGGCACTGCTTTTTCTGCCGCTGCTGCCTCGTCAAAAGGCTGAAGCGCAGGCGCTGAAAAAGTCGGGAGGAAGCAGTCGACGCATGGGCGCAATCACCATCACGTATCTATTGATCGCGCTTGTGTGGGCGATTTTGACAAACTTGCTGGGCATCTTCGAAAGCACTCGATGTTGGGTCATTACCGGTGGCTGCAAGGAGTGAAGTTGGCACTCTCGTCGCGTTAGCGCTATGCAAGTCATGTGTGATCTATGTGTACCAACGAACGGCACCATGCAGAGGCGCCGCTGCTGCAGAATTGATGCATGTAGCCGTTGGACGCCGATATTGTGCACGATAAAGAATGGACGAAGCGTAGAGTGTTGTGGCAGTAACTTTGCTGGCTCGAAGATGTTTCTGCTTCTCCATTGTAAGGTGGATGGCATCTGGCGTGGCCTGTGAGGTGCATATCGGCAAAGCAGTCATGACGCGCGCGCCAACCAATGCTGGTCTCGAGATGGCAGTGCATGACTGCTATGGACATTCCGACGCTGAATGAGCGATACCCTGAGCGAAAAAGCACGTTATACAGCATCAGCGTGATTGCCAGCAACACCTTTGGACTATCTCGACATCTATTAGCTGAAGTAGCAGTAGTAGGCTAATCAGAAGAGCTTGCAAAGATTGAGTACGTGAAGATAGAGCATCTGGTCTTGAGAAGATGCACTGCACATGAAAGTAATAGCTTGCCAAGTAGTGTCTGTCTCATGCCTATGAGACCAAAGTTCGTCCTGCGTCACACACTTTTTAGTACCAAAGAACGCGAGCAAGCAATTCTTTCTGACTCTGAAACAACCTGCAAAGCTGACAGACAGAACAACAACCTGGTAGAGGTCACGACTATACAGGATATCTACGACAACACGACAAAAGCTATCGAAGGCGCTACTAACTATCATACCTGCTGTCCCCTACTTCCAATCCGCTCGTCAATTGAAACGTATGATGCATGCGACCACGCAAGCTGTAGAAGCTGACCAAAAATGCGACCAGTTTGCCGTCACATAGTGTACAAAAGAAGGTGCTCGTCGTTTCGCAGGAGCTGGCGCACGTCACAGGCTTCCATCATACAGTAACATAGTTACTTGTACTGTCCGGTGATCGGAGTGTAATATGCAATTTCTTGGCGCTTAGCACTGACCAAGTTCTGTAATCCGTACTTTGCACAAGACGTTGGTAATAACACTGCATCAGGTCATAGTTGACAGGAACTTCAACGCTTGCGTAAGGTGACCTCTTTGTGGACTCAGCGCCTCTTGGATCAAGAAGAATCGCTCTCGATAGTCCAACATCAAGGTTCGGAGGTTCGAGACCTTGTTGCCGATATTCCATTTGTTTAAAACAATATCGTGCGACGATTCGAATAATTGCTCGCACTGCAAAATGCCTTTGTTGCCGAATCATCGTCATCATCTACAACCAGTCCTGGATCATGTCGAAAAAGTAAACCTAGATAGTCACAAACAAGTGGCTTACCAATAATGTTTTGAGTTTCTCTCGACACTTTTGTTACAACTCGATGTTGCTGCAATAATGCTGATACACATGCACTCTAAGCTCTAGAAGAAAAACTTACGAGGCATATGCTGCTGAAGCTTTCTCACGTACCTGCTGATGAAGAACTGCACGCCTTGCTTTCTATATAGCTCATGCAGGTACCAGTGTAAACATACTGCAACTTGGTTTCCTTTGGTCAGATTAACATTGCATTAAAACAAGGAATGGGTTGTGGGGCTCATCTACAAACCTTCCACATGCTCGATACGTTTCTTATCGCAATCAATTGCCAAATCTGCACGTGATCGCTTCGATGCATGTGCGGATAGATGGCGTGAGAGCTGAAGAATCTCCGCCAATCTCGGAGAGGAAGAGACCATCAGCTGCTCGCATCAGCGTAGTAGTACAGGGCAAATGCAAATAAACACTGTACGTATCGACATCTCAGCACACGACATGTGTCACGTGCTAAGTCGCACGATCATGCTGCGCTACACGATTATTCTGCTCTATACGGGTCATTTGTCAAAGGACGATGTTCGTTAGTAGACGACGTCTGCTGACGGGTCAGCAACGTCGAGTCAGCAGTCCAAACGGCAACAAGCGACGTCTCGTGGTGTCGACAGTGTGTCTGTCGAGCAATTCATAAACACTGCGCGCGACCGTTCCCCATGCACTCTGATACTCACTCAGTACGCAACAGTGAGCCGCAAAGTCCGAGACTAGTATCGTCTGCTTCGCTATCGATCTACATACCGTCCGATGAGCGACCTCATTGCTCCAGTACAGAACTACGATAACTGGCGAAGCGCTCGATGTATGTCATCATCGATCGTCTCTCCCATTAGACCGCTGCACAGCAATATACCAGCGGCTTTCGATGGCCAGAGCTTGACGAGCAAACCGCGCAGTCGGCGAGTTTTCCATCGCCGATTACGGTAACGTCTGAGAAGCGGTGCAGAAAGAGTATCTTCCCAATGAATAAAATAGCCTGTCTGGTCATCGGAACTGACAACGTCATGTCCGCCACAAAGCTCAGTAGCACATGAAGATGCTTCGATCACACGACTGAAGGAAACAGTCGACATCATGCTACTTTCTCTGTCCTTTCTCATTTAGTGCAGAGTATCGTCCGTATCCATTTGTCCACGTCACTCTCGGCTCTGTCTACACTTCATGATTGTTCGCCGACTATCCTCCACCGTCGAGTCCACAACCGCACCCACGCAAGCGCTCCCTCGTCGGATGTTGTCTCCACTTTTGTTCTCAGTCAGCTTGTCACAGGTTTTGACGTGACACACTTCAACACAAACGTCTCGTTCATCCATCTGGTCCAGCGCTTGCAATAGTTAGCTACCAAACAAAAGCGATTCCACCAACAGCATCGCACTGCTGCGATCGACATTCCTTGGGCGGGTGAGTGTCCATGAAAAGTCTTTGCTATTGCACGTACAAGAAAGCCAAACCTAGCGCTTGTTGTACCCATTAAGCTGTCGCTTCGTCTCTTGTACCTCTTCACTTCGGCGGTACGCGTACGCTGCCCGCAACGTCCCCGTAGACGGATCTGTGTCCGTGTCAGCAACGTCCATCTGCTGCCACTTCACGTCCCGTCCATCGTCTTGATCCTGTCCCCACTCAGATACGCTGCTGCATCTGAGACATGTCCCACCGTCCTACACGTTCATTGCAGTCGTTATGGTCCACAATCACTTCAGGTACACTCAAAGCTCTCACTCTGCTGTCAGACTAAAACATACGGCCCACGCACCGACGCGCCGCGTGGCAACGACCGCCGGACGCACAGCAGCATCTCGAGCGACGGCTGAGGTCGTCCGACAACACGGCGTGCAGGAGCTGCTGCTGCTGTGCTTTGAGGTCGGCAATGCTCTCGGCAATGGAGTGCATGTGCTGTAGAGGCGGCAGTGGATAGATTGTAGAACAAGAGGCTTTCTCGTCGACGGTCGCAGCTGTGCCGACGACCAGTCGGTGGTGCACATAGTGCCACACCCACGAGGTCAACGACTGGATGCACCAGTGGATCACTCCGTGCGCTATGTCTACAAGCACACGCTTTGGTACAAAAGCGGTGTGGGAAGACGGTGCAGGCTCTCGGTCGCGCCCGGACCAGGCTTCGGCAATGACATTTGCTCTACATGCAGGACGCGACGTGGCGCTTTGACCCGACGGCGGCATTGTCGATGCAATGACCGGCAGCTCCGTGACGCGCTGGAGGTAAATTCAAAAGTGACACACTTGGGAGTGTGTCGAAGCGCGCAATCTGGCGACCAAAAGAGAGAGTGAAGGTCACTTGGATAGACGGGGAACTTCAACATGCGGCGTCGTAGTTTGCTTCCTACATTAGCACTGACATGCACGATAAGATGGCAAGGTATGGGTTTTCGGGAGACGGAACAAGCAGTGCGGCATGGCCATAGTCTGGTCTTTTGACTTGTTAGTACGCGGGCATGCACTGGCACAACTGTTGAATGATGCAAGCACTGCATGTTGGTTTTGTCGTTCGTATGGTCTCTCCACGAGACGCGGGCCGTTGACGGCAGTGACTAACGACACATTGAAGTCGACCAAAATGGACGATATGGCTGGAGATCTCGATTCCATATCGTCGAGTGGTCATCCTACATGTATGTCTTTGTCATGGCACGCTTTCCACCACGAAGACGGTGTGTCGAATTGCATAGTGTTCGAACCACCGCAAGATCCAACATCCTGTGACACCACTTTCATCAAGCACCTCATGCGGTCAACATGCCCTATAGCCGTTGGACGAAAGGAGCTTCACTTCTTTAGCTTGGAATCTCCCTGACCTAATTATACTGAGGTGGACATATCACTGCGTGACTCTGTCAAATAATGGCTTCCGAGTTACAGCTGGTGTGCCGAATGATACACTCGAAAGAGTTCGTGACACGCCGCTAGCACTATGGAGGCAGCGGTGGTCGATTAGGTGAAGACCGCGTTCGCGACGTAAACCTTCAATATCGATAAGACGAGTAGCCTTTGAAGCACATGCAATAGAGACGTCGCGCGGTAACGCCCCCTCGATAGCTTTATCGCTCATCCTACATCCTACTAGAAGTACAGCAGCTGGCGTCTGTTGATACACTGTGACAACGTGAGTTCAGTTTTGTTCACTGTCGCGACTTCAATGGCGAGCGCAACATCGAGAGAAGGAGCCAAAGGGAATCGCACAAGTCACGCTTCGACTTTCTGATCACGCGCGAGTCAGTTGGTAAATGGACTGTATGCGCCAAGTACGGGTGACGCACATGAACTTTTCGTCCTGTAAAAGCATCTTAACGCAAAAGTGGAGCTCGTGTCTTGCAAACGCAGCATTAGACCACACCAAATATGCAGCATAGTTATGATGAGTGTGCACAAAAGCGAGGGACACGAAACCAACAAGCACATCGCAGCGGTAGAACCCACTACCAGTCCATCACCCCTCCCTGGAATAGTCCCACCTTTTTGATATCATTCCCACACCCACCACTACAGCTCATTTCCATCGGAGAATAATCATTCGTAGTGGCCCATGTTCAAGTCCCGCGCGCGTCGGCGCAAACGTCCGCGCGCGGACTCCGTGACGCCTCGTCGTAGCAACAGGACGACAGATGGACGCTTCAGAGCCACTCGCACACCGGAAAAGCTGCGCGCCGAGCCGAAGATCGTGTGGAGAGACTCGCCGGTGGACAAGCAGATGAAAGCGTCGGGGACGGACAAAATCGCTATTCGGAGGGAACTGCAGGACTTTGTCGAGCGTCTCGCGTGCAAAAGTGAGCACATGTCGCCCTGTAGCAGTGACGTGGACAAGGAATGCGGTCGTCAACGTGCCGGCGTGTGGACCGAGGAGACAGGTTGGGTGCGGTATGACTAATGAAAGAACAAGGACGGGTGTGTGCATGACTAAGTGAAGGACTTGCGTCACTCTTTTTGTGTGTGTTGTTTTGTTTGTTTGCTTTGCAGCTGTTTCGAGACCGTTCGAAGGCCATGTGCCAATGGGAAAAGACGCGTTGGGCTCGTCTCATGGACCGACCCCACCTCATTCTTGTGCTGGTCGACAGCGCACGACGGAGGAGCGCAAGTCGCAGGACGAGCTGTTGCGTATCTTGGATCAGATGGAGCAGAAGTATGCCAGTCCCGAGGTCGCAGGAGCAGTGCCAGGCCCGAGTGCGGCGTTCCTGGGCACGAAACAGTCTCTGTTCCCGATGCAGCGTCCGTTGACCCCACCTGAAGTTACTGGTGGTGGCTCGACTGAGGAGATATACTTGACGGCAACTGCAGGATCGAGCTATTCTCTGGCAGCGGCGCAATCGCTGCAGACGGTGGAAACGCCAAAGGTGGATGAGAGGCAAGATAGGGATCGGATCCGTGACGCTAGCGAGACTTTGATGGCGAGTGAACCGCCGAACCCAAGAGGCGGTTGTGGCCATGGTGGTAAACAGGAAGCCGTGAACGTGTCGGCGAAGTCGACGGTAGTCGAGGCAGACTTTTTTGACGATTTGACCGATGAATCGTGGGCCTTGCTTGACCAGCTCCAAAGTCAGCGGGTACCGGTGAAGGGCACGTCACAGTCGAAGACAGAGTCTGTTGGAGCGCAAGACACTGCATCGAATGTGCAGCCCGTGCCACCAGCTGCACATAGTGGGACGACAAGGTCTCAGTCAATACTGCCGTCCAACGCTTCGGCTATAGCGGTGCGATCAATGCATGACACCGAGGCAGCTCAGGCTTTCCAGTCACTCGAGAGCTACAAGCGCTTTATGGTCTTGGAAGTCGACCGCAATGTTGCTGACCGCTCGCTCCTTTTGCGCCTGTTAGATGACCAAGATGTGCAGCTGGAGGCTCTGCTGAGTGACGACTGGTATGATGTGGTCGTTGACGCTGGCGACACTGTCAACATTGTGCTTACTGAGCAGGACGGCAATGCCTTTTTTTCGCAAGCTGGGCACGAAAGTCGGGTGAATCGGCAACTGTTGCGCATACAGGTGGACAATGCGCACAATGTCGTGGTTGTGCACCCGGATATTCTGGTACAGTCAGCAGTCTATCAGCTGGCACGAGTTCTTTGTCTCAGATGTTTGTGTTGTGCTGCTTTGGTCGACTACAGGTGTCTCCAACGAGGGTGACGACAAGTTTTGGATGCTTGCGACAAGCTGTCCTACAGGAGACGTTTGCTGTGAAGCATGCGACAAACCAGAAGGCTTTTTTAGGTACACTCAAGCACGATTTGTTCGAGCACGCACTTCTGCATGACTTATCCAGCGCTGAGGAGCTTGCGAGAGAAGCCATACAGATTGTTCGCTCGAAGTACGTAGTAAATCGGGCTAGATTGTGTCGTGATGCTTATCCTGACTAGGGCGTGTGTGTGAATAGCATACTAGGTCTTGTGGAATGCGGATTGAACGAGGAATTGGCCCTATTGGAATTGCAGAAAGTGATCGGCGAGTATCAGAAGTGGGTGAATGAGGCAATCGCTGGAGCTGGCACGCCGCTGAATCTGACACCTCCGAATAGTAGACTCAAGGCACGGGTGAGCCGCGTGTTGGCCACAGAAGAAATGATGTGGTCCATCAAGTGGGGTCTAAAAGGTGCCACAGACGCCTCGGTTGAAGGAACTATCGTCGGTCAGGGGCATGCAAAGGATGAGTGCGCGGAAACTAGAGTGCTGCCACTCGAGCTCAAAACTGGAAGCAAAAGGTACGAGCACCAGGGTCAAGTGATACTGTACACGCTCTTGCTAAATGAGCGCTACCGTCAGCAGAGTCAAGAGGCATTGCTCATCTACGTTCCGTCTATCGAGACCAATCGCATTACGGCCGTGACAGCTCATGTTCGGGGTCTCATCATGGCACGCAATAGTTTCGCCAGCGCTATTGCGAAAACGAAAGCAGTCGGGAGCTCCACATCCGGTCAGATACTTCCGCCAATGATTCGAAATCGCAGGGACTGCGAGCGCTGTTTCCAGGTGGATGAGTGCGTATTGGTCCATGCAGCAACGGAAAACGGCACAGAAGAATCTAGTGGTCTCGAGGAGCTCTTCACCTTGAAAACGAACCATCTTGTTGATGCGGACCTCCTTTATTTCCGGCAATGGAATCGACTCATCATGCTCGAGCAGCAGCATGCGGAAAAACACCTTCGAGCGCTTTGGCTTCAGGTCGGGCTGAGAAGAGAACAGGCTCAGGAGAGCAGTACTTGCCTCGCACATCTCAAACTAGTATCTGATACGCCGTCACAGTCAGGATCGGGAACAAAGCGAACATTGCGCTTTGTTCGTGACCGTCGGAAGAGGAAGGATGTCGAATCAGAAAGCGGAGGAAGTGCAGCCGATTGGCAGCCGACTTCGTTTGCGGGCGTGCGTTTTCGGGCGGACGAACGTGTTATTTTATCAGCAGAATCGCTGGACGGAAAGAGTTTGCTGGTGCACGTGTCTCGTGCCAGTGTGCGCAAGATTGAACACGGACTCATCACGATCGAGACTCGTCAATGCATTCCGTCAATTGTGATGAGCGGTCTGTCTACCGTCGGGAAAGAGTACACGTGGCGCCTGGATAAAGACGCAATTATGAGCGGCTTACAGCGCGCAAAAGAGAATCTCGTGCGATTATTTATTGGACCTCCGCCTGAGGTCATTTCAGCTGGCACGGCACGAAGGAATCGGCCTGAGTTACAGATACGCACGACACCGACGCTTCCTGCGGGGCATTGTGTCGTTGATGCTCCGCCAGGTATCGGAGATGTGCGAAGACGCAACTTGATCGTCCATCTTACTCGCCCGCAGTTTACTGCACGTCGGTTGACCGATCTTGTGACACAGCGGTGCCAGGATCTTGCTAATCGTGATGGGAAAGCGGTAACGCTCAGTCAGACCTTGCTCGGTGCGTTTCGCGAGCTAAACGTCGACCAGCAGCGCGCTGTCCAGCGTGTGGTAAGCGGGCTCGACTACGCTTTGATCCTGGGAATGCCAGGAACAGGTAAAACTGCGACGATCGCTTTTACCGTGCGGGTCCTACTATATCTCGGGTTTTCTGTCTTAGTCACGAGCTACACGCACTCTGCAGTGGACAATTTACTGTTGAAATTACTCGCGTGCAACGTTCCCATGCTCCGCATTGGCAACGCTGCTCAAGTGCATCCCCGCATTGCGGAGTTTACGCTTGATCGACAAGTTGAGCGCGAACAGATTTCGAGGGTCCAGACCATGGAGGCTAAGTTAGTCAATGCTCAGCTTGTGGGGTGCACTTGCTTGAGCGTGAACAGCCACGTGCTGTTTAAGAAACGCCGGTTCGACTTTTGCATTGTTGACGAAGCCACGCAAATTACGCAGCCCATTGTCCTGAGCGCTCTGGGCTGCGCTGATACTTTCGTGCTAGTAGGAGACCATTACCAGCTGCCGCCGCTGGTAGCAAATGCCCAGGCTCGTAAGGAAGGTATGGATGTGAGCTTGTTTCGGCGATTAGCGGAAGCTCACCCCGAAGCGACTCAGCAGCTGTCTTACCAGTATCGAATGAACAGAGACATCATGTTACTGGCGAACCGATTAGTGTACGGTGGCAAGCTGAAGTGTGGCTCAGTCGAGGTCGCATCAAACCACCTTGACGTAAGATGGCAATGCCAAGAACCTGACACACACAAACTGCCGTGGCCCATGCAAGTACTGAGCAAGAAGCAAGGCGTCGTTTTCATGGACACAGACACGATGGCAAGTGCGACGACGGAGAGCGCTAAGGTCGCGCAAATGGGCACAAACAGCCGTCATCGCATGGAGAATGTTGCTGAAGCACAGTTGATTGCTGGTTTAGTCGAGCTCTTGGTGTTGGGCTCTGTGCCAGCCGAAGAGATCGCAGTTATCTCGCCTTTTCGCTCGCAGATCGCGCTCATACAGCAACACCTGACTACCATTGCTGCACACCGTCGAGCTGGTGGATCCGACTGGGTCCGCTCGATTGAAGTGAGCACAATCGACAAGTATCAAGGCAAGGACAAGGACGTGATTCTGGTTTCGTTCGTTCGATGCAACGAAGAGAATCATGTCGGTGAGCTGCTTACAGACTGGCGCCGTATCAATGTGGCGCTTACGCGTGCTAAGCAAAAGTTGCTTCTGGTTGGATCTGGATCGACGCTCAGTGGTGGCAGTGCTTTCTTGTACGAGCTCTTGTGTGTTGTCCAGGAGCAACGATGGGGGTACGAGCTGCCAGCTGACGCCATTGAGTCCCTTCGTCGATTTGCGGTGAGCGCAGCAGCCCCCACAGAGCCTGATCCGGAGCAAGGGGCTACACGTAAACTGCGAGCACGTCAGCCGACTGGAGATGTGAAAGTGTCGATTCTTCAGCGCTCCGCAAGGAGCAGCAACGGAGACATCGAGTCGCTCGTGCCGGACGTGTCGATTCTGCCCTTGCGTCCTCAACCAAGAGCCCGATTGCCACACTTGATGCCACTTTCGCGCGACGTCTTCGGCGAACTGTGACGACCGCACGAGTAGCTTCGTGATGTCTTCGTACGGATGTAGACCAGAGGATGTATGGCACAAGAGGGCGTGAGGAACTACGAGAAGGACATCGCAGCCGAATATACATCGCTTGCGTTCAGACCCATTGCATCAGCTTCGACACCTGAACCTATTGCGCTCGATTTATGACTGCTTCTCGCGCTCTATTCATCGAAGCGTACAGGTATGCGAGATGCATTGACCTCGCATCGGATACGCCGCACTTCTCGTGCCAAATAATGTGCCGCAAGTATTGCGTTAGCAACCATCGTGTGAACCTTCTTCGGCACTCACTACCAAGTTGACCCTATTAATACGAGCGTGAACCTTTGTAGCACAAACAATCGCTGTCGTGTAACTGGACAATTGTGTTTCCTGCTATGACTACCCATGGAACGCTCCCTGCTATCGACAAAGCCGTTTGTATCCTCGAACTCGTGTGCTCAAGGAACCAGACGCTTCAGTCTTTTTAGATGACGGGTCCCTAAAAAGACTGAAGCGTCTGGGTCCCTCTCCAACGCTTTTGCCCATGAACAGACTCGCGACAACTCAGTTTTGCCAATCGCTTTGGTGGATTAAGAATCAATGTAAACTACCGACCGATAGCTACTGAGTTGTCTGTGACATCTACTGAGATATACCAACAGCTACAGGAGCGTCTTGTCTCCTCATGTAAACGCTCTCTCACAGAGCCGTCGAGTGACCTGTCGGGTGCGTCGGTTGGTAACTGCCGTGCACGGGGTTGCCAGCAACTTGACCGCCGTGAACGGGTCCGCCTTGAAGGTGCGTGCCAACAGGTCCACCACCGTGCAAGTGGTCTGCATGGGTGGGGCCGCCCTGAAGATGGGAGCCAACAGGCCCACCTCCATGAGCATGGGATCCAACAGCTCCGCCCTGAAGGTGCGTGCCAACAGGACCCCCGCCGTGCAAGTGGTCTGCATGAGTGGGGCCGCCCTGAAGATGGGAGCCAACAGGCCCACCTCCATGAGCGTGGGATCCAACAGCTCCGCCCTGAAGGTGCGTGCCAACAGGACCCCCGCCGTGCACGTGGTCAGGATGAGTAGGTCCGCCTTGAAGGTGAGTGCCAACGGGGGCACTGCCATGAGCATGGGATCCGTGGCTCGGACTCGTCTTGTCGCCCTTGAGCTTGTCCTTCACATCGTGGATCGCCTCCTTCGCCCGCTCCATCATCGACGGCGACAGCGCCTTCTCCGCCGCAGACAGCTGATGGTCCAAGGCCTTGACGCTAAAGTTCTCGCGCAGATTCTTCTGCACCAGCCCTTCGACTGTATCCGTCGAGCCCATAATGCCCGCGCCATTCTGGTCCGCGTGGCTCGACAGCCCCTTGTGGTGATGGCCGCCGTCCTTCTCGCCACCAAAGAGTCCACCAGAGTGTGTCTTGTCACTGTGCGTGTCGCCCGTTGCATGTCCACCCAGCGACTGCTTTTCATTCTTGTCCTTGTCGTGGTGCCCGCCCATCATCGTGTCGATCGTGCCCTTGATGCCCTTCGACTGGCCATTCTCCTTGTCATAGTTGCGAGCAGTTGTTGTCAACGCTTCCATCGTCCGCGACGTCTCATTCATCACATGGCGCGCAGACGTCAACTCGGTCTTCGAAGGCTTCGGACTGCGACTGATCTGATGCGCCACGTGCTTGAGTTCCATGGCCGTGTCTTTGGCCGAGCGCATGTCGCTCCGCAGGTACGACGTGGCCGAGTGGGTAAAGAGATTCCCATTGCGGTGGTCGTACTCGGCCAATTGTTTCTTCAAGAGGCGGAGACACACCGACGTGTCGCCTGCGGTTTGGTTCAGCGCCAGTTCGAGTTTGCTAAACTCCTCTTCGACGTTCGAGTGGTGGTCGCTCGACTTGCCCATGATCGTCATGCGGCTGGAGGTGGAGGTGGTGGTTGGTAGTGGCTTGTGGACTTGGAGTCACGTTGCGAAATGAACAGGACAATGAGTGAATGAACGATCGATCGATCGATTGACCGATGGATTTAGTCGCTGTACAGAGCGAGAAGCGGTGTTGATGGGGGCGAGAAGGCGAGCGATCTCTGGACAAAAGGAAGATCCAGCAGCAGCAGCAGCAGTAGCAGTAGTGTTCCGAGATATCTGATTGAAACGACTTTGTTCCTGTCGTCGTTGAGGTCACAACTTCTGAAGCCATCGTGACGCTTCGGTACGTGGGCTCTTGACGTTGAGACATGGGACGTCGGTTGACTGAATGAAACTTCCGTCAACAGCTACGTACAGGCTGAGGTGTCCTACGTACAGGCTGAGGTGTTACGACTTGCTGTGCAGGTGCAGGCGCTTTTGTCGCGTACGTGTCGCGCACGAACGAAACCATTTTTTTCGTTGGCGTTCTTTGGTGCGATGTCTACAACAGGTGTCGCATGTTGTGTGCTGCATGGGCAGCAACACTTGCGAGCACGAACGTGTACACTCGTGCTCGCTTTGCCAGCGTCTGTGAGAACGCACGACTCGTGGCGGGAAGAGACCACCTCACAGCTCTGAGAGCAGAGAATCGGAAGCGATTCGAAGGATACAGCCGGCGGAAGTGGGTGTAGTAGAGCCGAACAAGTTGTTTAGATCGAGACGCGGTCAATTTTTGCACCTGTCGCGGCCCACACAGACGCTCCATTGAACGTTCAATGTCGAGAGCGAGTGCGAGACAAGTGACTCATAGTTTCTGACACGAAAAGCGCATCTCGAGAGGTAGTAAGCAGCTTCGTAATGAAGGAAGTGGAGATAACTGACAAAGTTTATACAACGTCTCAAGAGTCGAATAGGATCATCGTGGAGCTTCGGACTTGGACACAGGGAGAGTGTCTCCAAACAACGTGGTGGCGACTTTTACGCGCTTGAAAGCTGACACCTGACGTCCATATGCTCTGTCGCAATGCTTGGGCCCCGCTGGGCGCTTCGACAAGTACGTTCCCAAAGCAGAAAATCAATTGCTTTGAGACTGGCGCTGCATCTGATTTGCTCTTGACCGCTTTGCAGAAAAGATCTGACGTCAACGAAAGCGCTGTTGCACAAGGTAAAGTGGAACAATGCGTCCTGCCTGCATGTGCTCGAGCGTCCACGCGACAAGCGCACCCACACTCCAGAACAGAATATACACCTTTTCGATGTGCGCTTTTGGTCATTGACCCATTTTGCTACATCGAAACGTCTCCAATCGTTTCCACGGCTTTATTGCCTTTTCGATCACGCAGATGTGAAAGACGGCGACAGAAGAGCCACTCAGATGGTACGCTCGAATAGTACGACGCGCAACACCAACTCGTTGTCTCGCTCGTCTGAACCACTATCAGCCGACATGTCCTGCGATCTGGTCGTGTCTTGTGCGCATGTGGTTAGCAGCCATCGAGCGGATTCTACCAGCAAAGAACAGAAAAGAAGAGATCGGAGGCGCTGCAACGTCCGCGCAGCACGGGAACATGATGGCGCCCACCCCACACGAGAGGGCACCACTGCAACACAACGCCAGTAGTTCGCTGCGACATCTACGGGATCTGGTCGCCGATGGCTGGCGATGGCGTCAACATGCTGCGGTCGTCTCGTAACGCATCGAAGCAGCAGGCAGACAGGCGGCAGCACGCACCACATCGTCGGTGGTAGTCGTGCTCTGCGCGTGCAGAGAAACTTCCCAGACGTATCACATTTGCATGACAAAACGTCCGGACGGCGCACTTTTCGGTACGTGCGTCACTTGCACTTGCCCCTTGACTCGTCGCAGGTCGAGGGAACTGCAGCTCTGCCGTTCGATGGGACGACCGGTGGTCGTGGAACATCTTTCTGACCAGTCACGTCCGACGCGCGGGAGCATCGGCGCCTGTGATTGGTTCAATCGCTCGACACGACGACCCGGGACAGAGTGTGGCCCTTCTGCCCGGTTTCGACGACGCGACGATAACGTCTTGCCGCATATGATCGACGCCGTTTTATGGTTCCGTAACAGCTGAAGATACGTACGTAGTGGCTGATGCGACGGCACAGTATCAGCTCACCTTTCGATGATCGATCGATATGCAGACAGACAGGAGACAGGTAGATCGATGGATCGATAGCCAGGAGATGGATCGACTTTTACGTCGATGGATCGATCGATCGACCGACCGACCGACAGAAGATAGATAGATAGATAGATAGATGGACGGACCGATCGATCGATCGACTGCGCGATGATACGTTTCGTCTCAAGTGAACGAGACAGGAGCATCGAGTGGAACAAACACTTTCGACTTTGCCTCGTTCGCCGCACCACGTCCAGCAGCCCCACTCCCCCACACGAACGCCCGGGACGCTGTCTGTCTGTCTGTCTGTCTATCCGTCTGTTGATCTGCCTGCCCACCTGTCAGTGCAAAGACATGATCGAGTCGAGTACGGCGAGACCCCACGACAGCGGCGAAGTGCGCCCGTTGCTCGAGACCCGAGCGACGTCGCTGATTGCTTCGCCTACCAGCCGCCGCCCCATCGGTCGATGGAGTGTGGTCGCTATCGCCTCGACGCTGCTGCTGACGGCAGCTGTCTTTGGCGTCTTCAAGCCGAGCATCTCGACGCTCCGAAGCGCGACGGCCGTGCCCCCGGACGCCAAGTTTGACCTCTTCACGCCCATTTTCAACGCCGAAGCCCCGCCAGACAGTCTCTTCAACCACACGGACGCGCAGAAGGACTTGCTGCCGCCCAGGTTCCTCGCTGCGGGGATCGTGGGCTCCCGTCCGATCCCCACGAACGACTGGTGGGGCAACATCATTGGCGCCACGACCACAGACGAAGAGGTCGTGTACCCCGTGTGGACGAACCCGTACAGCGTGTCGCCGTCCCTCTTCAAGGAGCCGTTCGGGCTCACGATGAACTACCCGTACACGACGCGACTGTTTGGCGGCGGTCTGACGGGCAACGGCGACGCCGAAGCGTACTATCTCCACGGCCAAGTCGCCGAGTTCACGTTCTCGGCGACCGAGTTCTCGAACGCGTCGCGCCCGGTCTTTGAGGTGTTTGACTGGGACGACCTCAGCGTGCAGCTGCGCTTCTTGTCGCGTGCCGACCCGTCCAAGACGTTCGAGACGACACTCGCGAGCGGGATGGCCTTTGTCACGTCGCACTACGCGGGTCTCACGCCGCGCTTCGAGACGCTGTACACCATCGAGACGGTCAACGGTGCGGACGCCGCCGAGACGCTCGGCCGCGCGCTGACGAACGACCGCTTTGTGCTGCAGTTCAGCAACAGCGCCACGTGGACGCTCTACTTCTCGAGCCACGTCACGCTTTACTTCGACGGCCGCTCGCGACTCGACATGGCGCAGCCGTTCACGGGCACTGCGCGCGTGGCGCTGATCCCCGACGCGTCGGCCCAAGAGCAGCGCATCTTTGACGACACGGCGAGCTGCGTCCTCGACGGCGGGCGCGTGGAAGCCCACAACGAAAACGCGTACGCCTACAAGTGGAAGACCAGCGGCGACTGCACCCACGGGATGCTGCACTACGCGCAGGTGCACCACGTGGATACGCTCGACCGAAGGTACGCCGTTGAGGCCGAAGGCGTCGCCGCGCACTCGACGACGCGCGGGTTGATGCAGGGCGTCGTGACGACGTCGTCTCCGCCCGAGTGGCGGCTGCTGGAGACGATCGACTTCCCCGTGGACTTTTACCCGCCCCGAAGACCCCACGCGAAGCACGTCGAGGCGCACGAGCTGAAGAAGCACTTGATCGCGGACATTGACGCCCAGTGGACGATCGCGCTGGGGCAGAGCTACTACTTTAACGGCAAAGCCGCGCAAAAGTACGCGTCGCTGTGCCTCATGGCGGGCGACCCGTCGGTCGTCGGCGCCCACGACACGGCACTGGTCGTCCGCTGCATGACAAAGCTCGAGGGGCTCCTCACGCCCTTCCTCGACAACTCGTGGACGAACGCGCTCAACTACGACACGATCTACCGCGGCGTCGTGAGCTCGCAGGGCTTCACGCTGCACGACCCGAACGTCGACTTTGGCAACACCATGTACAACGACCACCACTACCACTACGGCTACTGGATCGTCGCGGCGGCGATCGTCAACAAGCTCGACCCGACGTGGGCGGGCATCCCGGCGCTCAACCGCATGGCCGGTTTCTTGATCCGCGACGTGGCGAACCCGTCGACGGCCGACCCGCACTTTCCCAAGTTCCGGAGCCTCGACTGGTTCCGCGGCCACTCGTACTCGCACGGCATCACGGCGCTGGCCGACGGCAAGGACGAAGAGAGCACGTCCGAGGACATGAATTTTTTCTACGGCATGACGCTCATGGGCCAAGTGACGGGTGACAAGCACCTCGAGACGGTCGGGAAGCTCATGGTGAAGCTCAACGCACGCGCGATCCAGACGTACTTTCTCATTGAAGACGGCAACCGCGCGCACCCGGACCGCTATCGCGACAACAAGGTCATGGGCATCCTCTTTGACAATAAGGTCAACTACGCGACGTGGTTCAGTGGCGAGAAGTACGCGATCCACGGCATTCAGATGCTGCCTGCGACGGCCGTCACGGAGTTTGTGCGCACGTACGACTTTGTCGCGCAAGAATGGGACCAGGTGCTCTCGCGCGAGCCCATTGTGCTCACGGACGAACAGACGAACCCCTGGCTGTCGCTGCTCTACATGAACTACGCGACGATCGACAAGGACGTTGCCCTGACAAAGCTGCGAAACGTCACAATGGACGACGGCCTCTCGCGCTCGTGGGCCATGTACATTGCCGCCACGCGGCCGTAGAAGGGGTCAGTCCACACATACATACGTACATACGTACACGGCCGACGACGGACTGACGTTGTGGGCATAACGTGCGCACGAACCCCACGGAATCTGTCGCTACTGCCTCTTCGCGTG